GGGGGCGCTACCATCGTTCTTTTTCTAAATGCTCAAGGTATTTATGCGTATTTAAGTGTCCCAGAAACGAGATTAGAATGTCTTACTAATTTATTGTTTTTATTATAGAAAAGCCCACTTGGGCTTCTTTCGACTCAAGCTTATTTGATTTCTTTTCTTTTTACGAAATTCTCGACATCTTCTTTTGAAACCACCTTTCTGTTGCTTCTGGGGGGTTTTCTATGTCGTATCAAAGGCTGACCATACCATAGCCTTTTAAAACTTTTATTACGATTGTCACTGACATGTTTCTATGTTTCAGGATTGGTCTCATTTTATTGAAACTTTTTAAAGTCATTGCGGCCTTTCATTTTTGATGTACAGAAAAGTGGGCAGACATGGAATAACATCAAGAGGCTAGCCCAGGATAGAAAAAGGTGGGAAATGTTTGTTCTGGCCTGCACCCTGGTACAGAGTGAAAAGGCAATGATGAGCTTTTCATTTTGTTTTTGTTTTGTTTTTTTGTTTTTTAGCACATTTTGCATCTGATGTTATTCATATTTTCTCCTTTCACTTTGAAACCTCGACATTCTCCTCCTTGGTCTACATTTCTAAGGATTGTTCCACTCGAATCATTGTATATTTTAAAGAGGTTTTGTGACACTACGCAGTCTTGCCTACCTCTTTTATTCTGCTTATAGTCTCCGTAAATATTTCTAATACATCTAAAAACCCTTCTATCTATATCTTGCTTTCCCATAATTTTAAACAGTTCGTCGAGTCTAACTTCTAATATGGCTTAGATGACTCTCACACCCTACTCTTTTCAGTTGCTTTTTCTCAGTATCGTGATGTCAATCGGTTACATGGTTATAAGTTCCACTTTCTTTCAGAACATAATTATGTCTAAGTCTTGGAATATATCGTTTTGAGCAGTTACTTTTTAGCGAGCGGCTGCGTCTCTATGGTGTTTAACCTCTTCACTCCCAGCTGTGTAGTGTCAATACACTCATTTGTGATCTTCCAAACCGAGACACTGCCCTTTTTCTTTCTCTCTCTCTCTCTCTCTCTCTCTCTCTCTCTCTCTCTCTCTCTCTCTCTTGTCCCTTTTAACTCCCAGTGGAGCATAGGCCATCAACATTTCTCCTGCGAAGCCTGTCCTGTACATCCTTTTCTAGCTGTTTCCATGATGTCCCCGCCTTTTCCATTTCCGCTTATACCGCTAGCCTTCATGTCATCTTTGGTCTTCCTTTCTTAAGTTTTCCTTGTGGATTCCACATCAAAGCTTGTCTGATGATGCTTGTCGGGGGTCTCCTCAAGGTGTGCCCAATCCATTTTCACTTCTTCATCTGTATGTCTTCCTTTACTGGCCTTTGGCTTGTTCTTTCCCACAGTTGAGTTTTTTTGACTCGATTGTACCACTTGATCCCCTCTATCCTTCTTTTTTTATACTTCAATTTATGAAGCCCTGCAATTTCCTTGCTGCTGATGCTGTGAGCCTCTATGTCTCTGAACCATATAATAGAACAGACTTCACGTTTGTTTCGAAGATCCTCAGCTTGGTATTCAATCCCAGTTCCTTAGACATCCATATATTTGTGAGGATGATGAATGCTGCTCTTGCCTTTTGGATTCTGACCCTGATGTCTTCATCTGTTCCCCCTGCCCGGTTGTGTGACACTTCCCAGGTTGGTGAAGGATTCAACATCTGCCAATGGTGTCCCTTTCTATTGATATACTGGGGATATTATAGATTTGAAGCTTGCACCGTATGCTTCCCGGGAAGCTGTGAATGTTTCTGGGTGTTCCTGATTCCAGGGACTGCTGGAGTAATAATGGTTGTAGAGCGCATATAGCATGCTGTAAAGTATGGATCGTGGAGGTGTGCTCTATAAATGCAATTAATTAGTTATTGCAATTTGTATCATTATCAGAGGCGGATCGTAGTTTGAAAAGCTGACCGGCAGTAATTGCCATCAACCCC